TGTTTAGACTGGATTTGGGATTTTTATCCACCTATCAAGTCCTTCCCAAGGACCTGGGATAGGCAGATGTTGTGTGATGGTTTGATGGTGTTAAAGGTATCATTGCAGGATATAAGCTGCTCCAAGTAAAGCTGCCTTTTGCAATTGACTAATGGTGAATTTTGTCAATGCCGCTGGTGTTCAAGTGGTGCTCCAGATGTTTTGGGATTGCACCTAAGGCTGTGTTGTTGTTGTTTCATAATATATAGATTTTATTGTTCCAACTTTTTAGAGGAAAAATCATTTAATCAGTCAATTAATTAATTAATATGGCCATCCATCTCATATGCATGACTCTGAGAAGCTAACAATTAAAAACAGAATAAAAACATAGTAAAAAAAAACAACAGAAATAACATAGCAGCCATGAACACTTAGTTAACCCAACCAAGATCAAGAAACGGGCTGACCCATACTATCAGGGCCCTAGGCTTGATGGCAAAGCCAGGTTTCCAATGCCTTGCAAAAAGCCAGCAGGGTGGGGGCAAATCTAATCTCTCTCTGTGCTGCATATTTGCTATTATAATCATGACGTAATTCCTAAACATAAACATTCTGTGACACAAAAAGTGCTTTCTTGTCTTACGTTTCATGTATGCTTATCCTGATTCTCTTTTAAATATTTTAAAACATTTTAACACTTTTTTAAAAACTGAAATATTTTAAGTATGAGGATTGATAACAATCTTTTAATAATAATTACCTTTGTCCTACTACAGATCCTTGAAGCTCTAGCAAAAAGTGATGAACAATTTCTGCAAAACTGTAGTAGCTTAAATAGTATACATGAAGTAATTCCTACCAATCTTCAAAGCAAATTCAGTGCTAATTGCAGTGAAAAAATAGAGCACATTTGCAGAAGAATTACAAGTTACAAAAAGGTAAAAATGGGAAATTTGCTGGAACATTCAGCTGGAGCTCAGTATGGGTAGACAATTATATATAAATATGTATAATCAAAGTAAACACAAAGATAGTATCTAGATGGAATTTCCATGGTAAAGTATACCTCAAAATATGCTTGGGAAGGTTTCTAAACCTGCAAAGTAGATTTTGAGAGTGTACCTGGAAAGTGGAACAGGATGACAATCTCAGAAAAAATAGTTTAGCTGCAAACTGGCCTTAGGTTTATCATGATTCCTGTGCAATTGAATTTTTTATGATTGACAAAGTCCTTTTCATATATTTCTGATGTATTGTAGAAAATTTAAAATGATCTGCAGCGTCCAGGACAAGAATAGCAAGAGCATAATGGGTCAGGAACAAGTACACTGGTACAACCGTGTGGGGGAGGTAGACATATTTACTAAACCTAAAGTAATAAATCCCCACATTTCCCATCTGCTCTGATAAGATCTTTGAGAAATTTATAAACACAATTGTTATTTTAAGAATGTTTACTATTTGGGGGGCCATTAGTAATGTGTTTTATTCTATGGAAAGTTATGCCTTTCTCTTTCAGGGAGGTATGTAAAACCATAGAAACAAATGTGTCTAAGAATGGTTTAACTGTGCTGTTAGTTTCAGTGTAAACGTTTGAAATGTATAAATAAAGATCCAATGGCTTCCTGCAGTTCTTATCATTTCTTTTTTTTAATATAATTTTATTGAAAGTTTTAAAAACAAAAGAAAAATTAATACAAACTAAAATAGAATAAAAAAGAAAAAGGAAGAAATAAAAGAGAAAGCTAAAGTGCAAAAGAAAAAAGAAGAAAAATGCCACTTTATCAATCAAATTTGAAAATACCCTCAAGGCACTACATTTAAGATTATTCAGCATATGCCTGTTATATCAGCGAACGTAATACCAAGTCACACATTTATGACAACATCTATTTTACTACTGTGTTTAACTTTGTAATTCCATGGGCTATAGAACCTTCAGATTAAAGCAAATCAGCTTTGGATATTGAATGGGAATAGAAATGATGGATGAGTGATTGGTTGATTCCCCCCCCCCCACACTTTTGGAAGTGAAATTTGTGGCTCATGTGAAGTTACATGATCTGGGAAGCATATAATTTGTGCTGATCAAAACATAGGATATCTTCAAGCTCCTTTTGTGGATGTTGCATTTGATTCTTTATGACTTACATTGTCTTTAACTCAACATAGAGGTGTGTCTTTAACTGTCTTTAATTCAACATAGAGGTGTATGTTATTCTGATGTAGAAGCATAGATATGTATTGTGGAAACAAAACTGTGTGCAAAAATAAGAGACTGAAACAATATATTTTCTCACATCTGAAAAATGAATTGCTGAAGTTAAAGTTATTTTCTTTGCAGTTATGTAGTTCAAGCTGAAATATTTGTTACTGATATAACCTTCCCCTCTGGATTTACCTGTAGTTTTCACGGGTCTTAAAAAATCGAGCTTGGCCTACCTTCAAGCAAGCTAAGGCAAAGATCTCACCACTGCACAGCAGTGATTTCTGTCCGACTAATTGCCATATCAATGTCATGGAAGTGTCATACCCTAAAACTTCAACCTCACTTGGCAGTGCCTTTGGTGTTCAGCTAGACAGCAGAAAACATTTTTCACATGAAAAAGAAAACAGACATACTGAACAAGGTAAACTTCAAGGCGTCTCTTTGAAAATTTGTTTCTTTACTAATGTGACAAGAAATGAAGACATTGGGTTAATTAAGAGGTAGAAAAATCTTAATTGCTACAATTATTAAGGGCAGAGAAGAAATTTTGGATCTACTCAGGGACTAATGAGTTTGGATTATTCTTGCTTTATAAACTAAATACTGTTGCTGCCACTCTTTTGCCTTTCTTTTCTACCTTTCCAAGGGCTTCACTCATGCTTGCTTTTCTCAGAGGAAATCCGGTGGAGAGGGGAATGTGTTGAGCTGGGCATTTCTCCTTGAAGTTGTCTTGTTTATCTGCATACAGGGATGTCTGATGCTCCCTCCTGAAGAGCAGGTGGGAGAGTGGATGAGATGGCTACAGTTCTTTGGAGGAGTTCCAAAACTTTCCAGCTTCCATCCCATCAGCCTTTAATTCTATGGAGAGGAAAAATTATGGGATGGGAAATTGCCACTTTTAGTACTACATAATGGCTGGTTTGGTGTAGTAGCAGTTGCAGACTCACACATATGCCAAGCCACATCCAGACATATGATTTTCCATTTCCATTTTATTTATTTATTTGTTGGAGTCAAATATATTCTGTAACCACTATTAATTGAAGGAATTCTTATTTTGTGATTGTATACATCTATCTCCCCAGTCTGCTACTTTTTTTTTTTTTGGTCATTTTCTGTATTGTCTAGATTACTGCTTATTTCTTTTTCCTCAAATAATTCAATGGTCATATTATGATTGTAATAAGAACAGGATGTTGCAAATGTTTATCAGTTTCAGCTTTTTTTTTCATTAGTAGCAAGTTCATCCTATTTAAAAATGAGTGCCATCTTTACTTAAATAAGTGGTACATTGTTTCTTTTGAAGTAGTCATTGAACAATCACTTAAAAGAGGAATGTTGAGAGTATTGTTTGCTTGCTTAAGTTACTCCCCTGTCAACTGAGAAGTAATCATAATAATTTGTGTGTCTATGTCAGCCTGTCTATCTCTGTCTCTAGTTTCTGCTAGAGTATAGACACAGATAGATTTTTTAAGAACTACTCATGGTTTTTCTTCAGTATTTATATTGTGTAATCATTTATATTATAATTTGGATTAAATTGTTTCATTAGCTTGTGGGATAATTTTAAAAAATGAACTATGCTTGTACACATGAAGTAATTTCAACACAAGTGTGGATTTTCAGCATCATGTGTTGCTCGTGTTCTGGTTGTGTACAAATTGACTATTAAAATTATGTAATTGCAACTATTAATTGGATTTATGAAAATGAGCTATTTGTTTTGAGCTTAAATTAATTGAGTTATAATGAATCTAAGTATACTTAATAAGCTATTTATGCAATATACTTTGTCTAGGTAAACTGAATCCCATGGTTTATATACAACATACAATAACAACTATGGCAGCTCCATCAGGTCACTCATTAGGTCAACAGGATGGCCATGGTTTAAGGTACCTCTTAAAAGAAGAAGATTTAGAAACGCAAGACATCTATCAGAAATTGTTGTGCAAATTACAAAGTGCATTAAAGGAGGTGGAAAACTGTGTTTTTCAAATAGATGAGTAAGTAAACCTGAGGTATATATCTTTATATATGAGTAAGTAAACCCAAGGGTTTCGGCATTGATACATACATTGATAGAATTATAGCTTTAGCTTATATTTTTTATTTTTCTTGGAGAACCATAAGTCTGTGATGAAACTCTTTTCATTCAGTATTTGGCATTTGTGGATTGAATAGTCATACAGTATTTTAAAACACCTATTCAAACCAATAGGACTAATTTTAATTCCATTGATTTCATTAAGACAACTCTGATATCAAATAGAAGTACCTCAGGTCTTTTGCATTTCTGCCAGTTGAAGCAGACTCTGGTTTTAATTTAAAACTTTAAAGTATTATATATTTTACATAAAGATATATGCGTATGGAGTAAATGAACAATATTTGGGCAGAATAATTCTTGATTAGATGTTATATGAGCCTAGCCACATTAGATTTCTGCTTGTATTTTAGGATATTGCCATGTTAGCATTTACAAATTTTCATACTATATTAGTGGTATGCACTATTTTTAATTACCTCTACTAAATTTATCAATTTCAGCCTTCTCTCTTCAATAACATATTCTCCAAGTTCAGAACATGCAACCCATGAATTGTTACCATCAACAGACAGTGATAATGAAAAAGGAGAACGCAATGGAAAAAAAGTATGCTTCAATGTAGTAAGTGATGAACAGGAAGATTCTGGTCATGACACTATAAGCAACCGGGACTCATATAGGTAATGTATCATTTAATAGTAAGGAGAGAGATTTTATGGATCACATTCACAGTTTTATTGTGTATAATGATAGAATTTTAAACTTTTTAAAAGTCTTATTAAGTAATACATATTGGGGGGGTATTAAAGATGTCTTCCCATTTGTGCTTATTCACAAAGGAAGGGTAATTTTTAATGTGCATTTTGATACAAACATGCCAAATTTGTACTTTCTGAATCAATATACTATAGGAATGAAGTTTTTCATTGTCACAGCCATTCCTCTCTCAGAGGATTCAGCGGTTAGTACATTTTCAGTGAACTTAAACCCACTTCCCTCTTCATTTGTAGTTTTTAGCACTATATTGCTTCAAAATTACGCAAGCATGTACCTTTTTTGCCCCAAGACATAAATAACATTTACTGTGTGCCTTGTTTAATAGTACAAATAATGTCAATAATTGACATTTGTAGTATTTGAAAAAATGCCTAGACAAATGTAAATGTGAATATTCTGAAAGATTTATACTCATATTTTTCCTTGTTCTTTTTAGTGATTGCAACAGCAACCGGAATTCTACTGCTTCTTTTACCAGTATTTGCAGTAGCCAATGCAGTTCTTATTTTCATAGTGATGAAATGGATTCAGGTGCTTTTTAAATATGTGTTTGTGTGTGTGTGTTTATATTCTTATTTAGGGGAATGTGCATGAGTTTTGTTTAATAGAACTTTTGTTTATATATTTATTTTATTTTCTGTTACTTGCATACTGCCGGCTATATATTTATGACAAATTGAAGTCATAAAACAGTACAGCCATAAAATCACATCATAACACTAATTAAAAACAATATAACATATGACAATAAAGTAAAGATGTTAATCTCCAAAAGCTTGTTCTCTATATGGGATGTAGGTGGAAATAATGTCCTTCTTTCACTCTGCTCCAAGTATTATCTTTATTCAGAAATTCTCATTTACCGTTTAATTGAACAGGATAGATGAGAAATATTAGACTAGTTTACATATAACTAACTCTATGGGGCAGACAAATTATGCTTGAAAACCAGGGTAGATTTTAATAATCTTTTTAATCTTCCTCCCTCTAAACATCAATAGGATGTAGAAAGAGGACAAAACAAAGGATGATGTTGCTAGGATACATCTGTTTTTTTTCTTCCCACTGCAACATCCTAAAAACCTATGGTAATGAATGAAATACATCGGATGGAATGCTACTGTAAACCTGAATGAAACCGTCAGTTAAGCTAACAAGAACTTGAGTGAAACAAGAGGGAAATCAGATTGGAAGTAATTACTTCATATAATGTCCCTTTGTCCAAAACAGGAAGAAAATCCCTACTCTGGTAGCAAGCTTAGTGCCACAATTCAATTTCTAGATCTTTTTCAGCATCAAGATAATGCAGATACAGAGTATGAATATCTCTTATCTAAAGTCAACTGTGATTTCAAATATTGTTTTAATAGGTGATGAACTTCCTCAGAGTATCTGCATTTCTCATGATAAGCAGGATAAACTTTATGGTTGTTTGGAGCATCTTTTTGGTCAGGTGAGCTATTTCATTTTAGTTTTCTTCAGCCTATATAATAAGTATAGGATTCTTAAAAATTGCTTTTTTCTTCCTTTTGTTTGTAAAATATCTTAATTGTCAGTTTTTGGAATGCCTGTATGCTGTATTGTCTCTTTCCATTTTTAATGTACTGTCAGTAAGAGCAGTTCTTTAATCACGCATATGTACTGTTTCAACATTACATCTAAGAACTGACATTCAAGAGCAAAGAACAGTGCACAAAGCTTGGATTAGTTGGGGATGACATGCTGCATAGTTGGCTGTACATTTATTTTGCAGATAAGAATTCTGATTTTCAGTTATATTTACTTAACTGAAAAGGGCATCTATTACTTGACCTTTTCCTCCCAGTGACTGCACTTATTCCCTGAAAAATTCCACATATTCCATAAATTTTGAAATTCTTACTTATTTGAGTAGGAATTAACTGCATCTAAGGGGTCTAATCCAGTACATTTATGTGAAGCTAATTTATAATGCTAATTGTACTTCTGACAGTATTTTTTTCGGGTTCACTCATTCATAATTACTAAAGGCAATATTAATTTTAGACTCTGAATCTCACAACATGTGACATGAGATACATGATATATTGTAAGAAAGGAGGGGGGGAATGGGATAAGATTAGAATCAAGGTGAGCAAAATCAATAGCTCTCTTGCACAATGAGAGGCAAAAAGAGGACCTTGGATAAGGTAATGCTGGCTCCTATTATGCTTTTACTAAACTATGGTTTATTTAAGCAGCAACTATGAATAAACCATAGATGGCTGGGTCACAGGTCACATTAAAGAATAATCATGGTTTACAAATTGGCTAGATTTACATAGCAAATAAAGGCAAATAAATCATATTGTAGCTTACCACAATGCATTTATCCAGCCAGAGTCTTTGCTAGGAGCTAAAGTCAACTAAAACCTGACATGGTTGAAAAAATGTCAGTTGGGTTACTTCTTTCTCCATAGACAAGCTTGCTGAGTTGTTAAAACATTCTTGTTTGGTTTTGACATCTTTGATTAATGAAAGATTGGAAGGATGGACGTTCATTGGTCCACTGAGACCAAAAATGGAGGTAGGTTTGTCTCCCTCGGTTGATTCCAAATAAAATATATAGTGGTGGATCTCCCACATCTCTGTTTATAGTCTTTCTTCTAACAAATGTCTAGGTTTTCCTAATTGGATCTACCATATGCTATAGTATTTTAAATCAGATTGAAAGGATTATCAAAATAAACTTCTTTTTAATATTTATCAATCGCTTCTGAATTCAACAGGTAGATTCAATTATTAATCTACTGAAAGGACCAACAGTGGCAAGAGCTTTTGAGCAAACCAAATTCTTCAGCCCTGGTAGAAGTTTGCAAGGTATTAATTTTCCAAAGTTAACTATGACAGTGAATGTAGTTTCTAGCACTTGTTAACAGGGTTACTTTATAGTTGAAAGTTCTTAGTACTAAACATGTAAAAATTGGAAATACCAAACATGTACAGATTGGAAATGTACACTGTATTATATTTAGAGAACCTCCAGGAATAACCATTTTATGGACCTTGTGTAGTGCATAGATCGCTGTGGCAGAAGGAATTGTGAGAAAAAGTAAGCAAATTCATTAGTTCTTATTGTGTTGTAGAAGATATATTCAACTGAAATGCAATAAATATTTAATATTTTGAATAAAACATTTTGAATAACAGTCTGAATTTGGCCATTATTTTTTTCCATTCTCATACATCCCACTTTCAATTTTGCTTTTCTCCAGATTTTTTCATTTTTCATTTCTCCAGATTTCTTTCAGTTTGTAAATAGATACTTTTTTGGCAAATAAGCAGACAACTAGAAGAGACTTGATTGTAAACTAGAAGAGAATTAGTACATTTTTCTTTCTCTGTGAAGTATTTCAGAATATTATAAGATTCAATATAAATTCTGCCTACTTTCCTCCACTGTTCTATTCCATGTTCTGAGTTTTTTAACTTTCTGATTAGAAAAAACCATATGGAAGATCAGCTGCAAGAATCAGTCCTCATTTAAAGATACCCTGTTCCATATCATCTGCTTACTGAAAAATTAAGCAGCAGAAAGGCTTTTAGTAATGTGATGCCCTAGTGGTAGAATGCTGTCTCCAAAAAGATTTGCCTAGTAAACATTTAAACATTTTATTTATTTATTACAGTTGTATGCCTCAAATGAATTGCTTAATACTCTATTAATTGTCAACTGAAAAAGATAATGATTTTAAAGACTTGTTAATACCATATTTGCATAGGGCTTTTTTTCTCAAATTGTTATTTGTGAATGTGGGGGGCAGAGGTCCTTTTATATTACCTGATAAGTACAGAAGAACCTGTGGAAAAGAAAGGATTGAGCAAAAAGTACAGGTAGCTGCCACATCTCTCCCACAAGGAGACCTATTGAAGATGAAGCTGAAATAGATTAGAAGGGGTGGTTTGCCTGATGTATCTAATTCTTCTGTAAAGCTTAAACAAAGCTTTCCATATTTCCTTTCCTGTTCATTATCTCTTTCTTTCCTCACATCTGCATGCAGTTTTCTTCCCTCCTTTCTCATTCCTTCCTTTAGCAGAGCAGATACCTCTGTCTTTCATATAATCTCCACAGTTTTTGTCTGTTTTTGCTTTTCTCTGCTGGAAGAAGGGAGGGAAGTGTGTCTGTGTGAGTGTGTGAGTATGTGTGTGTGCTCCTCTGTGTGTATGAGAGTTATATGTACATGTGAGAGAATGGTTGGTATATGGAAATAGGGATAATTTAATGTTGTTAATGGGGTATCTAACTAATTTTAATTAGTTATTGCACTCACAGACACACACTTTTTTTTTATTCCATCACTCCCTTTTTATGAGTGTGTCTTCAAGCAAGTAGGTATCTTTTTTTTGCCCTCCCTTTCTATCTCAACATTAATATCTATATCTACTTCCATTCAAACACATACATGCAAACCCAAATATATATATTTTTGTTGAAGAAGAGAGATTTCAAGATCCAATTCATTCCTATGTTGACAAGGTGGGGAAAAAATGTAGTTTTTTAAAATTAAATTAAATTTTAAAATCTTTTTAAAAGTTTGTTTTCCTTCTACTCTACCTTTTGGGGAAAGATCATTTTAAATTCTTCTTCTTTTTGGGTAAATAGATAAATTATACTTATGCCCAGTGAGAACTGTTGAATGAATGCTATTCCCCCACTCCAACAAATTGCTTCAGGAAACATGGTGTTTATGGATTTCTTCCATAAATATGGGCGAGCTGAGTGACGTGATACACATACGTCATACAGCTTGTAATGCTCTCTTCAACATTGCCAGGCTAGGATAGCAAGCTCCTTCTGCCAGCAGCAGTGTATCTTTGTGCTATCGCTCCTCTGCAAATGTGCAACTGGAACGTTAGGATGACAACTATAAGAGTATTAAAATCTAGTAAAATTATTGTAGCAAAACTAATAATTTTGTTTTTGCCTAGAATTTCAGCAAGAAGTTGAACTTAAGCTGAGCTGTCCAAAGAAACTGAGACTTCATATTAAGCAAGATCCTTGGAACCTTCCCAGCAGTGTCCAAAACCTTTCTCAAAACATCAGAAAATTTGTCGAAGGTTAGTAATTCTTCTATAGCAGGTCTTTTTGTTAAGCTTCTTAGGCAGAAGTTCTGGAATATAAAAGAGTGTTTTGATAATAAGTCAGATTATAGAACAGTTGTAAAATCCTAGTAACCTGATTGTGTGAATTAGTGACATTTATGTTCTTTTCCTAGAGTAGGGATGGGGCATGGCAGGCCATCCCATTCAGTCCGTATTCAGGTGAAATCCTACTTCCACTAAAATCTTATCCTGTAAGGAGAATCTGCAAGCACTTTTTTAAAAGCCTTTTTTTTTAAAAAAGCCTTTTTGTGCCTTTCTTGAAATACCTAGAGAATGGTAAAAAACAGGATTTCAGAGTACCTGACTTTTCTTCCCCAAAGTTCTCATCTTGATACAATCTGTACTGTGGGGAGACTACCAAGGAGAAAACAATGCTCCCACCAACACTGACAGGGCAAGCTACGGTATATAAACAGAGAGCAAACCCCACTCCCTTCTAGCACTGAAGATGTTACCTACCCGGGTAACGAAACATCTGCAAGAAAATAACCAAGCTCAGAGAACCCCAAGGACTCCACATTAGAAGAGAATATATGTAGCTCAGGGTTGAACTGTGGAGTCCTTGGGGCTCTCTGAGATTGGTTGTTTGCTTGCAGGTGTTTCATCAGTGTGAGTGAGTGTGGGGTTTGCTCCCTGTTTGTATACAGTAGCTTTCCCTGCCAGTGTTGGTAGGGGTATGGGTGTTCCCATGGTAGTTCCTTGATTATGGTATTGTTTCCTGCTTGACTGTTTGCCTGGTGTTAATCCCTGCTTATCTGGGTGTTGGCTGCTGAAGAGGTGTTCTGGTCTTTTTGTCTCCTTCTTAGCTTTTTTATTGTCTCTTTTGAATGGGGCTTATTTCTTTGATGGCTGATTTGTCTGAATGCCAAGCTTTGTATGAATGCAAAACATTTATTTGTGTGGGTAGATAGGTGGAGAGAGAGAAAGAGAGAGAGAGAGAGAGCAAGCATAAATGTAAATATGTACACTAACAAATTCTAACGATAAGGTATACTAACAGATTTTAAGTAAATAACTTAAACTTCTACACCTTTACTTTTTAATACAGAATGCTTAGTTGCTAGTTCCTTCCTCCTCCCCCACATATTCATTTATGACACAGGATGAGGAAGGCTAACCACTTCTCTCTTTAACACACTGGCCCAATTACCCAGCACCTGGACCACACAGAGTTTGCTCTGCCACCACCTACAATCCAGAGCTGTTTTCCTTTCTGCTGGCTCTTTCTGCAGATTCCTTTTCTTGGCTTCAGCTGCCTTGGATATCTTCACCATATCTTTTCCTGGCCCGCATCATCCAGTTCCAGTTCCTGGTTTTTCCAGCTGCAGCCTCCTCTGCTCCCCATCCCATCTGGAGGCCTTTCACTCCAGCAGCATCTCTTGCCAAACCTAGAAGGACCCCCCCTTTTTTTTTGAGCAAAGTTTCTCTTTTCCAATGTTGTACCAAATTTATTCTTGCAGCCCTCAGCATCTATCTTACTAAATCGTGGTATTTTTCATTTATGTTTTCTGGAATGATAACTAATAAAGATGTTTGTGGTTTCAGTTCAATTTTATTTTTAGAATTTTCTGAATATTTTGATGTATTTCTTTCCAGTACTTTTGAATTTTTTTACATGTTCACCACATATGATAAAATGTTCTTCTTTGTTATAGCACTTCCAACATTTATTGATGTATGATTTGTCTATCTTGGTAATTATTGATGAAGTTATATATCATCTGTAAAACATTTTATACCAATTTTCCTTTATTATGTAACTTGGAGTAAACATTTTTGACTTGTTTCATAGCTCTTCCCAATGTTATACTGTGATTACTTCTCTGACATTTTGTATCCACTTTATCACACAACTTTTAATTTGTTTTATCTTTGTGTCATATTTTAATGGCAATTTATATACATATGAAAATAGGTGATCTTGGTTTTGAATGTGTTTCAAATTCTGTCATCTTTCTCAAAGTCCTTCCTTCTTTCTGGAGATCATTTTTTATTGAGCCAGCAATTTATAAATACATTCCTATCTTCATTGAGTAGTTTTTGCTGTGTCTGTTAGTCTGTTTTCTGAGTCTAGATATGCTGTATTGGCATATGTGATTAAATCTTTCTTGGTGTAGTTATAACTGAAGTAAATGGCATTTGATGGCAAACCTGTTGGACTTAATGTTTTCTCTAGTTTCTATTTAGATGGTATAAATCTTTCACCCTATATGTATAATCTTTGTATTTTACATATAGTAATAGTCACTTTGAATAGAAAGATATGAAGATCCTTGTTGCTCCTCTGCCTATTGATATATTGTATTGAAAGACATACTTTATGAAAAAAAATAGAAATTTGATGTTTAAATAGAAAGGAACTCCCCATCCCCAACCTGAGTGCAAAACATGATTTTGTCTCTTCAGGTTCTTCTATTTTTCTTTTCCAGAGGTAAAAGCAAGAGTTCTTTTGGCACTTCTTGAATATACAGGTAATGTTTATTTAAAGCAGTTGACCAAATGTTGCAAATGTCTTCATCTTTAGGAGTATTCACTGAATGTTTTTTTTTAAAAAAAGATAAGCCTGCTAAAAGATTGGTCTACATCTAATGAATTTAATTCATTAAATGTGATTTCTACTTAATCTATGCAAAATATAAAGTATTGTTGATCAGGTATGGGCCAGAGAGAGAGAGGGAGAGAGAGAGATTCTTTATTGTGGCCATAGATCAGAATCTACACATAAAATAGAATCATAAAAGAAAATACTGGTAAACTTTGACAAGCACTTAAATTCATCCAGAACTAGGGGTATTATGCTATGGTGAGCCCAAGGTGCTAAAAGGAAGTACAGTGGTACCTCTACTTACGAACTTAATCCGTTCCTTGACTCTGATCGCAAGTCGAG